TTTCTCAGTCTTGCAGACTGAGCACTGGGCCTGATATGTGACTACCCACCAGTGTGTGGCTTCCTGTTGGGTGTCAAGTAGATATCTTCTTTTCTACACCCTGTTCACCAACAAGTCTAAGTTCAACATTTCATTCAAGAGAATGATGGATCAGAAGATAGTGATATCTTTCAAATTATAGATGTTTAAATAGTAATAAAAGATTAATTTTTACTTGGCTCTTTTCAGATGGTTTATAGTGACCCCAGCCCAAGAATTAGCATCTTTTTTTGGATACTGGAATTGAACTTGGGTCCTTGCGCTTGCAGGGCAGGCAGCAGAACCACTGAGCTAAACCCCCAGCCCCGAATTTGCATCTTTTAATTAATCATTTGTTTTATATTACTATTACTACATAATCTTTCCTTCTCCCTACCATCTTTCTTCTTTTTCTTAAGACTTCTTTCATACTGACCTTTAGCCCAAAATTCTCTTCCCAACAATTCATTTATTCTCAATTGGGGGAAAATCCATATGATACTTGCTTTTTCAGGGAGAATTGTCCTGGCAGACTTATATTGGTTAAAAAAAATAAAAAGTATGATTTTTGTTTTTGCTTCCCAAGGGCCTCTGAATCCTTGAAACTCCCTGAGTGGTAGCAATGCCCATGCTGTTCACGATGGGCCCTTGGCCATAACTGAGTTCATGCTGACATAACTCAGGACAGAGCTGATTGTGCCAGAAAGACCAACCACATAATTAGAGGGTTGGGCTTTGAGCAAAGTGTTATCAGCTTGACCCCTTGACTTCAAATTTCTAGGGAGGAGAAAGAAGACAGAGATCAAGTTCAACCATAAGATAAGTATTCCCCAGGATCCCATATGTTAAAGGCTGGGTCGCAAGTCTGAGGCGCTCTAGGGAGGTGGTAGAACATTTAAGATGTGGGACATAATGAGAGGAAGTTGGGTCAGTGGGGATGTGCCTTTAAAGGGTATTTTGGGACCCTGGGCCCTTCCTTTGTCTCTTTGCTTCCTGACTTCCATGAGGTGAGTTGTTCCTCCACCACACATTCCCCCATGACCTCTTGCCTCCCCATAGGTGCAAAGAAACAAGGCCAGCTGACTATGGACTGAAACCTACAAAACTGTGAGCCAAATAAACTTTTCTCTTATTAAATTGATTTACCTTAGGTATTTGTTATAGTAATGGAAAGCTGACTAAAATAAAGTATCACATGGTCAATAATTTAATCAACTGTGCTTATGTAATGAAACCCTAATAAAATATCTCAAAACTAAGGCTTCTTAGGTGAACTTTCCTTCTTTGATCACATCAATATGCTGAGGAGGTGATATACCCCAATATCCAGGACAGGACCAGGAACCTCTGTGCCTGGGATCCTCCCAGACCCATCCCTGTAGGTCTCTCTATTTGGCTCTTCTTGATTTGTGTCCTTTATGACAATTATTCTTGATCTCTAAGTTCTCTGAGTCATTCTAGTGAGTTATCAAACCTGAAGGACTCATGGGAATCCCTGAATTTGTAGCCAGTTGGTCAGAAGTGCTGGTGGCCTGTGGGCCCCTCAACCTGCAGCTGGTGTCTGCATAGAGACTTTGTGGACTCTATGCATTCTCTGGGTGGTTAGTATCAGAGATGAAACAGTATTGCAGGATACAGTGAAAAGAAAGGCTTATTTGAATCAGGTCCATTCAGGACAACAAAGACTTTTATTTTCATTATATTGTCTATAAATAAAGAATCAAAAAATTGATACTTATGTTGTTATAGCTTGCATGCCCAATTACAATATCAGCTACACTTGTTTCCTACTAATTCTGTGAGATTCTGTCTCTTTGAACCTTTAAAAAATTACTTTGCTAATGTTTGTTCATGGCTTTAACTGGGTATTCCTTAGGTTGTGCTTTGGGGAAAGATCTCTTCAGCCCTTAGGGAAATGTGTAAGGAGCAGGTCTCCACAGCCAGGGTTAGAGAGGCCTTGGCTTGCCTGGGGAAGCCCAGACAACTAGCTTTGTCTCTGCCTTTTCTTGTACCACACTCCATTTCTTTTTGGCAGGTAAGTGATTGTTCTGATACACATGAGAAACACAAAGGAGAGAGTCCCCATTAGAAAATATTTCATGTCAAAAAGTCTGATTTGGGCTGGGGATTTAGCTCAGGGGTTCTGGCACCTGCCTCAAAAGCGCAAGGTCCTGAGTCTGATCCCTGATCCCTGGTACCAAAAAAAAAAAAGGGCTGGGGATTTAGCTGAGTGGTTCTGGTGCCTGCCTCTGAAGTGCAAGGTCCCGAGTTTGATCCCTGGTACCAAAAACAAAACAAAACAAAACAAAACAACAGCAACAACAAAAGTCTGATTGGGCCGGGGATTTAGCTCAGTGGTTCCTCCGCCTGCTTCACAAGTGCAAGGACCCGAGTTCGACCCCCAGTACCAAAAAAAAAAAAAAAGTCTGATTGGATTTAAAACCATTTGTCCTCATTATAAGAATTTTCTTATAAGGAAGAAAAGGAAGAGCCGTAACCTAATTTCAACTGTTATAAATGTTTGAAAGGTTTGCAAAGTGGTTTTCAATTTTTTATCACCACTTGTGTCAACACATTTTCTCCTTGACAGTTTAACTCTGTACAGAATTCAGAAAACCCAATAGGGACAAGTTACACCCAAGGACAGCAAGTCCAAGTTTCTAGTATGGTTCTCCTAGAGATGTTAATTGGAAAGTTTATAGGAACTCCAAATTAAATACTTTCTCCGATACTTTGTGTCTTTTTCTAGACATAATTATATGATGTACTATGATAAAAATGTAGTGCTGTTTACCAAGCCACATATGCAAGTCATGTGTTGCATAGCAATGTTTCAGTCAACAGTGGACCACATAAGTGACTATGGTTCCATAAGATTGTAATGGAGCTGAACAATTCCTGTCTCTTAGTGACACTGTAGCTATTATAATGTCAGAGTACCATGCATGCCTCATACATTCATGGTGATTCTGTTGTGGGCTCCTTGGGGTCCTGTGCTTTCTATCAGAAGAATAAAACAAAAGTATCTTGGTACAGGAATGAGGCTTTTTGCTTACACTCAAACACAGAGAGAAAACCATGGGGGATAGGAAACCCTGGCTGACCCAAACAAAGAAAAAGGTGTGCAGCTTTTAGGGTATCTAGAGGTAGGCGAGGCCCTGTCTCTTGATGTCTCCAGGTGTAGAGGTGGAGTTTTAGCTGTGCCTGTGCTCTTCTTTACCATGTCTCTTCATGGGACACTTGTCTCTTCATCTGAAGTTTCCACTTCAGGGTGTGATCCTTACTCTACTAATAAAACATAGGTAGCTAAAGATTACTTTAGTGATTTTTCTATGCATGCATTTGTCCCTTGTCATCTGGGAAAGTTCTTAATTGGGTTTCAAAGCAGGGATCACCTCCCTGCCTCAGTGGGTTGGATTTTAATGATCTTTTGTTTTCAGTTCTGGTTTCTCAGCATCTCCACTGACCACAGGGTCTTTGTAGGCTGAGTTGATTTCTTACCCTCCCTTATCCTGATGTGTTATCCTAATTTCATAGCCTTAGAGGCTTGTGTACCTTTTAACTTCCTGTTATGATTTGTGTCTAGATGTCCGCCCAAAGCCTCATGCAGTCATAGGTGGGGCCTTTTCAGAGTTGGCTGGATCTGGAGTGTATGAGGCTAGGATCAAGGGTATGTGATTACTAAATTAGTTCACCGATCTGTTTGGTATATTTCTGGCTAGGATTAAGGATGACCCACTATGGGTGTGAGTGTTATCCATCCTAAGAAAGAGGGTCTTGGGTCCCTTGTCCCTTGCTGCATTCTGCCTGCCATGCCACCCTGCCTTGGAGCCAGCCGACTGCAGACTGGAACCTGTACAAACTGTGAGCCAAATAAACCTTTCCTCCTTTAACTTTGGGTATCAGGTATTTTGTCTCAGCAAGACAAAAAATAACTAAGACACTCTCACTTCCATAGTATGTCTGTTAACCCCAGGAGACTGAGGCTAACATATCAGTCTCAGTTCTGGTATAAACATACCCACTGCATAGCCAGTTGTATAATTGTATACAATTATGCACAGCATGTAATACTTGATAAGTATAGTGATGACTATGTTACTGGTTCATGTGTTTATTATAGTGTACTTTTTATAATTATTTTAGAGTGTACATCTACTTATAAAAGGTTTCCTGTTAATTGTATGCCATCTTCCCCTGGAAGCAGCCTCATCCACCTCTTATTTACTGGTTTTTGGGTTGCACAGAGGCCATGACATGACCAGTGATTGACCTGGGCCATGTAGTCTTTTGTAAGCACACTTTAGGATGCTCACACAATGATGAAATCTGTGTGGTGATACACTTCTTGTCCCCATTGTTAAGTGATGCATGGCAATAGTTGACCCAATTCCCTTTACTGTATTCTGTCATGCTCTAAAGCACTTGGAAATATTATTAATATTTAAAATACTACTCTTAAACTCTGGTCTCTGAATTTGGCTTTGACATGCATGTGGTTATTCACTCTATTGATTATTACAGCCCCTTTTTAGGGTGCAGAAGTTAAAAGGTAGAAAGTACATTCTATGCTTCTTTGAAGCTCAGACTCTGGATGGGATTTAAATTCTGCCAGGTAGACCAGCTCGAGAGAGACTTTGATTAGAAACTAAGTCATCTGAAGGTAGTGAGCCTCAGGAACAGTTGACCAGGATGGAGTTACAAAGAGGACAGCAGGGTACAGGTACCCAGTTCGCTGGCTCAAAGTCTAGCAGAGGCAGATCATTTTTGTGCCAGTAGTTGGATGATGCCTTTTCATTTGGAGGCTCCCTCACTGAATATGATTTGGGATTCCTGAAAGTTCTTCCCAGCCCACTGTAATCTGAGCCATGTGTCCTCTTAGTAAACCCCTTTCTGTTCAAACTAGCTGGAGCATATTCTGCAGTTTGTCACTGAGAACCTTGACCAGTACCATGCAAAGCACATGTTTCTAGGGAAACCAACCTTGGACTTTGCCAACTTGTCGACAGGCTTTGTGATCCAAAAAAGGCTTCACATCTCTGGCTCAAAGGATGGGAAATGGAGGAAGAGCCTGAAAGGGAACAGTAAGATCTATGAGGGAGGCGCTGGCCAGGCCATTCTGAGAAGGTAAATCAGCAGAACAAGCTGTGAAAAAGGAGTGAAATGCTGGGAAGTAGGCTACTGCACTTGGCAGATTCAGGGACATGGAGTGCAGAATCCTAATTGCAGTGGGATGAGGAGAGAGTGAATGATGAGAGAGTACAATGGGTATCGAATATCACAGGCTACAAAGCAGAGGAAAGAAAAGACGATAGATTTTCTAGAAGAAAGAAAGCTGTTCCTTCTTGACTGCCTTCCTACCTTGCTTCTTTTTTCAGTGAGAGGCATCTGTAAATTCACATGATAAAGACAAAGAGGCTATGGAACAGATGTTGAGGTTAGAAGTAAGGGAGAGTCATTGAAGAAAGCAACTCAAAGAAGAGACAGGGATATAGCGTCAAGAGCAGTGGTGGCCAGCCTCTGGACAGCAGTGTGATATCTCAACAGTGGCAATGTTCACAGGGACAAGGAGGCAGTGAGAGGAGCTGGGGCTCTGGGCCTGGCTGCTCCTCTGTTCCCTGTGCCGTGGGAGGCAGGCCATCTGCAGGGTGAGCGGGAGGTTAGGGGCACAGCCCGGGCCGAGCAGAGAGGACGCTGGATGAGGCGGGCTTCTCAACAGCAGGGGCATAAAACTGCTCAGTCTACTTGGACCAAAAGAAAAGTTTTGGGGCGAGGTGGGGTGGGGTGTGTGGAACAGGGCTGGTCTAAGGAGCACCAACAATACTGTCATCAGACAGAATCCGAGGAATGTCCCAAAGCTGAGATGGAAACCAACCTCACCTTACCTGTAGGCCAGGTTTGAAGGTTCACTGACTCCCACGGAGGAAAAAGAATTTTCAGGACTAGTCAGTGAGAGGCATGGGATGGTTTTCATTAGGCAGAAATTAAAAGGTACACACTCAAAGAAACAGCGTGGTCAAGAGAGACAGAGAGAGAGAGAAAAAAATGCTTATTTCTTGGAATATAGAACATTTATCATTTATTCTTCTCTTAGGGGGTGGAAACCCTAGGCAAAGGCACCCCCTCTCAAAGGGTACCAGCCCATATTACTGGTATAAGCTTAGTCTTGTTTTGTTTCTGGATAAATAATTTAAACATTCAATTTAAACAAACATTCTTTGGATTCTTTCAACTAGTTCCTTTATCTTAGGATCAAGTTCCTGCTCTTTACTTTTTCAGTTAAGCCAATTTATGGGTGTGATTGGTCAGGAAGGGAAGGAGCCTGAATTTAACCAAGGAAATTGTGATTGTGGATCACCTTGGGTAACTTTGACTGGGTCCTGGAAATTGCAGTCTGTTTAAAAGTACAATTTTTAGTTATGATTTCTTTGTCTCCTTTCTACTTATCCTTTATTTCTTCTTTCCTACCTCAATACCAGCGGAACTTGCCATTTTTCTCCTTCCCTCTCTGTTTCTCGGGTGCCACAGCCCAGTCCCAGGAATAGATGGACTCTGCCTTTTAGAATGTAGCTCACCGGTGCCCCCTTATCTGTGATTTTTGCCTTCTGAAGTTTCAGTAACAAGGTTAATAAAGGTCCGAAATACTAAATGGAAAATTCCTGAAACAATTCAAAGTTTTAAATACTTTTTATTACAGTGTATTGTTATCATTGTGGTATGTTACTATTACAGTGGATTCGACTTATGAACTCAATTGATTCATGAGTGCTATTGTAAACTCAAGTTGGTTGTAAGTCAACACTATTTTGCCCATAAGAAATAATGGAAATACTCATAATGAGTACCAAACCTCCCAAAGTACCCCTTAAGTAAACTTTTCATAATAAAAAGGGTTGTATAATGTGTGTAATTTACCCAAAACACCAATAATTTTCCTAGTATATTCACCAAAAAGTTATAAAATGTGCTTAGTTTACCAGAAACAGTTTCATACTGTACTCACCATTCAAGTTGACATCTTTGGCTCCCAGGAAGGGGAGGATAAAATTGAAGACGGTTATTGTTTGGAAGGAGAGTCCCCTTCCATAAGAACATCAGGAATCTGACTCTCTTGTCCTTTCTCTCAGTGGGAGAGTCTGTAGTTCACTATGACCTGCTTCTGGCTCACTAGGTCTCAACCTTTTCAGAACTAAAAACTGGTCAAAGGTTGTTTGTTTTTGTCTTGTCTTTAACACTGTTCTGTCATACAGTGTGACAGTGTCATTAAGCAAGTGAATGCAACGATTGGCTTTTTCTCTGGGTGGGTCTTCTCTACAAATGTTTGTAGCTCTGTCCATTTTTTTGAGATTTCCTTTATTTCAGAAGAACTTTACTGCACTGCTTGTTGATTTTCCCTGTCCTCTTCAGAAAGCTCCTCAGCTGCCATTTTATGTTGCTCAGCCAGAAGTTCCTGGAGTTCCTCTGTAGACAGTTCTACTGAGTGTTCTTCCACCACTTTCTCAGTATCACCACTGTCTCCCTGGAAGCCTATGACCTCTACTATGGTGACAGTGTCATTCACCACAGGATCAATTGAAAACTCAGGCACCTCTACACTGCCTTCAAAATCTCTCTCCTGTATAATTTTAGGCCACACTTTCTTCCAGGCAGATCTCAGGGTCCTTAGAGAGATATCAGCCCAGGATTTCTTCACTACACAGAAGAGGATGTTTTAATGTCTCTTCCAGAAACATATAAGTGCTAAATCTGTATCTGAGACCATCTGGAAGTACTTCAGGGACAGTTGCTTGGTGTACAGCTTCTTAAAGTTAGCTATAACCTGCTGGTCCATAGGCTGCAGGAGAGGAGTTGTATTAGGTGGGAGGAACTTAACTGAGATCCATGGGAATTCCTCAGCCAATTCTTCTTCCAAATCTCATGGGTAAGAAGGAGCGTTGTCCATGATGAGGAGAGCCTTGAGTGGTAAACCTTTGTCCTCTAGCTATTTCTTAATAGGAGGACAGAAAGCCTCCCTGACCCACTCAAGAAAAAGCACTCTTGTTATCCAGGCTTTTGCATTAGATGGCCACATGATCCCTAGCCAATTTTTCCTGACTTCATGTTTCCTGAGCACTCTAGGGATCTTGGAGTGATAAACCAAGAATGGCTTAATCTTGAAGTCACCACTCACATTGGCACATAGCTATAAGGTTAGCTTATCCTTCGTGGATCTGTGGTCTGGCAATTTCTTCTCTTCCTGGGTAATGTACGTTCTCCTAGGCATTTTCTTCCAGAAAAGGGCAGTTTCATCACAGTTGAAAACTTGATGAGAGCAAGAGCCATTTCTCTGGCATTGTTTTGAAGTGGTGTATGTAATTTGAACAGCCCTTTTAACAGCACCGGCTGCTTCACCATGCCTAGTTATGTTATGAACCCCAGTTCCTGCTTCAAAATTGTGAAACCACCCCTTACTGGCATGAAATGTTATACCATTATCACTTGTTGATGGATTATCCTTTGTGAGATGTGCATTCATAACACTAGCTTTTTCACAATTTATAGACTCCAATGGACTTGCCATCTGCCATTCATTTATCCACACTAACAGTAGCTTTTCTACCTCATCTAACACTGTTGATTATGACTCACTAATTTGAGTAATACCTTTAGCAATGCTAGCTTCCTATACAAATCTTTTCTCTGTAAGATTGTTGAGATGGTAGATTTCAATATGTTGTGCATATTAGTGAGATCAGTCACACAAATGCCACTCTCATATTTCTCTACAATTTCCTTCTTGTTTTTGACTGTGATTGCTTTCTTTACCTTCTCTTCCTTCCTTAGCTTCTTTTCTAGCTTTTGGGGGGCCATTTTGATAGCAGTAATCTTAGCGATTATGTAAAGCACTGAACAAAATCACACCCACAAACATGTACATCTGGGCTCAGACTGACACACACACTTACATAATGTTTTTCTGACATCACAAGTCTTTGTTTACAACTGCACAAGTGGCCAGAATTCAGGTCATAATGCAAGACTTTTGTCGTAAGGTAAAACTAACATTCAGTTTGTAACTCAAGTTGTTCATATGTGAGGTGTGTCATAACTCAAGGGTCCACTGTATTAAAATTTATTGTAAGGTAAACTTTATTGTAGGTATGTTAGTACAAGAAAAAGCATAGTATATACAGGGTTCAGTGCTATCCACAGTCTCAGGCATCCATGGATGTCTTTGAATGTATCCCCCATGGATAAGGGAGAGCTACTACTACTGTATAGTGGGAAAGAAAGGAGGGTTTCTCCTGGAGGTCAGACCTAAATCTTGGCATTGATTGGACTAGATTGGTTTGGCTTTCAAAGTTCATCCTTAAACCAATCACCTAACCAGGGACTTGAGTTCTCTGACTGGCCAACCCCTGCGATACATGATCAGTCATTGTAGCCAGGTAAAGGGGAATTCGGAGCACTGAAGAGCCAGGCCTGGGTCACATGTTTCATCTCTCCAATCCCAGGTAGAGCCACATTCAAATCAAATTTTCTAGAAGGAAAAAGGAGATGAGGAAATTGATGTAGGGCAGACAAAGGGATAAATGTTAACTACAAGCAAGCATTGCTTCAGGACAAGGTGGATGACTGTGTTCTTAGTCAAGTGTGGGAGGTATTTAAGGTGACTGAAAGCTTAATACAGCCCTGAGTAGGTGGGAGGTAGCTAGAAGGGGAGAAGATAGTTAAATATGAATAGAAGATTGTGCGTTGGGCCCTGAAAGTAAATAGCACAAATATGTCATTGAGTCAATCAACACCATGTTGAGGCTTGTAAAGATCTAAAAAATGTTTTTAAAGCACTTAGTGGCCAACCTGGAGTGTGAAGGAAGGATGCAGAAATGTTAGCAGAAATATAATCACTTCTGGGAGAAGTTCTAGCCAGGACAAAAGGTGCCCGGATTAGCATCAGTGCAGTGGTTGTTAGGAAATTTCTGACTTCTGAAGTCACAGAGCACTTGGCAAGCTACAGCCAAGAAGCAGACATGGTCTCTAGCTTTTTATCCAGGTAAATTTCCTCCTTGGAAAAATGTGACAGCATGCTTTGGATTGATCACCAGAGACAAACATGGTGCTCTATGGGGTGCGTGTGTGTGTGTGTGTGTGCCCACACGCACGCACAGCATTGCTGTGAGGGACTGGGAATTGTGTGCTTTCTTTGATTTGATATGCTCATGTTAATCACATGTAACTGAGCCAGTAGTTAAAATAGATGGCCCGACAGTGAATTGGCATGTGATTTGCACAGAATCTGCTTTCAGTTTTAATTTTGTATTCCTCCCCTTAGGATATTCTTAATAGCACCAATAATGTTTCTTGATTCCTGATCTCTTCCTCATCCCCAGTTCTTTTCCTGTTCATTCTCTAGAGTAACCAAAATCTTCTCTACCATAAATCTAATTGAGTCAGAAGAAACTTTGAGCCTGGTGGTGAGCTGGGCCACTGGGCACTCCAGTAATCCCATGAGATATTTAAGATTATGACCCATGAATACAAAGATGGAGTTAATTCTCCATTCCAAGGATTAAAAAGCAAAAGCTTTGCTTATGTGCCTTAAGTAAAATGTGCGTGTTTCCTAACTAATATAGCAGGTTACTCCATGTTTCTTAGATATTTTACAACAGTGGTGTCCTAGGATAAGTTGTATTCATTGAAAATATAGTATCTTCCTTTCACCATTCAAATATGAAGTATCTGCCAAAGTATCGCCTGTGTATTGAAGGCTTGATCTCCAATGCTGCAGTATTCAGAGGTGGTGAGAGAGACATGATTAGATCATGAGGTGGTAACCTCATCAGTGAATTAATCCATTGATGAATTCCTAAATGAATGAGCTGTTAGGAAGTGGGGCCTAGGAAGAAGAAGTAGGTCACTGGAGGTGTGCTTTTGGAGGGTCTATGATGGTCCCAGCCTCTTTCTTTCTGTCTCTTTCTTGCTGTCTCTAATTTCTGGATGCCATTAAGTGAGCCCTTCTTCACCATTCCCTCTCATCATGTTTCTGCCTTTGAAATAACAAACCATGGACTGAAACCTCTGCAACCATGAGCCAGAATGCTTCCTTTCCTCCTTAAATTGTGTCTGTTAGGGTTTTGTCCCAGGAATGAAACAGTAACTAATAGACATCTGTTTCCATTGTGTGATTAGGAGACTAATCTTTTGGAAGAGTCTATATCTTGTTCTGACAGTCCTACTGCCCAGAGAATAAAGTTTCAATCTTAGACATGGTTTTCTAAATCCCTCAAAATTTGACCTCAAACTTCCTTTTCATTATTTTAATTTTACCTGTTTAAATATTAAATCCTTCAGTACATCAAAAAGTTCAGAGAAGAATATAATGTGGATCTGGTTCCTATAGCCATGATTAGACTGCTACTTGGTTTGCTATATTTTTTTCAAGAAAGTCTTACAGATATAGTGGAAAGTTGCTGCTCTTTTGCCTACCTGTCTGCAGTTCAGTGTCATAGCTTTCATATTCCTGTCTTTTTTGCCCTAGAGAGTATACCTACCCTGAAAGTTTATATCATTCCTATCTATGTTTATATTATTGCTCAATATAAACAAATTTAGCCTGAGAATATCTTGGCCTCAGTATAAAAATTAACTGAAAGCCTAATTCAAGAGTATAGTCTTGTAATAAATAGCCACATCTCAGTCTATCGCAGGAGCTTAGCTTTAGTTGTTTGCACACAACGAATGTTTGCACTCCCTTCAAATAAGGCAAAGTTTCTTAGTTACTTTTCTCACTGCTGAGACAAAATACCCAACATCCAAAGTTGAAGGAGAAATGGTTTATTTGGATTACAGTTCATAGCCATTTCAATCCACAGTCAGTTGGCTCCAAGGCAGGGTGGCATGGCAAAGGGGAATCACAGAGGAGAAGCAACGCACGGCAAGCATGCAGATGAGAGCACTTTAGTGCAGAGGACTGTAATATTGATTATGCCCAAAGCAGGTTGTGAAGAGTTAACCCCACAATTGGCTTGCTTATAGACGTGAGTCTGGCTGAAGCCTATGTTCTGAGGTCAGAGTAACTTGAACCCAAATTCCATTCCCACAACTAAAACCTTCAGACTAGAAGGACAATGTTCCAATTATAATCATATATTTTGTCTGTTCTATTCCTAATTCGAGAATTCTTTGTCATGTCTTTTATGAGCCTTGTTTACATTAATTTCCATAGAAACCACATGTCACCTTTACCACAATTGACTGCCAATAAAAGTCAGTGCCTGGGACTGGCCAGTGCCTTTGTCGGTTGCACTGGCATTGGTCATCCTGGCACCCTACTTTCTCTCTCAGTGTATTTTTGTCTCTGCATCGCACACTGGGCACTGGGTACTGGAACCTGACTACAGGGGTCTCTGGCACATTAGCCCTCTTACTGTCTCTTATATTTTATGAGGCTACCTGCCCTGAGGGGGGGTGTAGCGTTCAGACCATTAATCCTAGTCAGAACTATGCCAAAGCAATCACTGGATTGATTTAGTAACCACACATCCTGGATCTCCGGACCACACACTCTAGATCCAGAGACCCCTGAAAAGCCCCGTGCCCCCTTGACAGCATGAGGCATTGGGAGAACATCTAGACACAAGCCATACACAAAGGTTGAGCTACAACCAACTGGGATTTCTTTATACCCTGTTTCCTTTTTCTGTACCTCATTTCTGTTTTCTGTCCATTATTGCTTTTTGACCATGCAGCAGACTGGAGTTCTCTAAACCTGTTTTGGTTTTGAGAGCTTCTCCATTCTAGAATTGCAAATCAGAGCAATTAAAATCTGCAAAATTAGAATTGTTGTATTTTTTTTAACAGTATGTATCTCTAGACAATATATAGCATTGAGTTTTAAATTTTCATATTAATCAAATCTATGTATCACATTCCAATTTGCCCTTAATGTATTTGAGATTCGTTCATGTTAACAACATAGATCTATTTCATTTGTCTATTTTAATTTGCTGTTTCACTCCAGTGTAGGAATATATAAAAATGTATGTATCCCTTCTTCTACTGGCAAACACTTACTTTTTTCTAATATAATAGGGTTGTGGCAGATACTTTTGTGCATTCTTCTATATGCACTGCTGTGAGTTTTTCTAAGGCAGTGTTTTATCAATACTGTGTTCTGCTAATGTATTTTGAAAACAATACAAATAAGTACAGAAAATAATCAATCAAAAAAACAGATTTTACAATTACTAACTAGTCCTTGAGAATTTGCCATAAAGAGACACAATGGAGAATTTTCTCTTGTCTCACAGTTAAGAAAGGATCTTCTTCTGTACACTTTTTTTTTTCCAGTGACCCTTTAATTATGGAAGTGTGCTTTTTCTTGGGCTGCTAAGAAACTTGGCACTAAAGCTGTAGTTCAATACAGAAAGTACAGTACTGCATGGTTTGTATTTTGTGTACTAATCTCGCCCTGGCTTAATTCCTTTTTCCTTAGCTTTATCCCCTCAACTATTCTGTACGTGTATTTGTAACTGAATGCAATGGGTTTGCCCCTTGTTGAGTGCAAAGCTGATAAGCACATGCAGAAGATAAAGGAGTGAGGAAAGGTTTACTACTTGCATAGGTAAGGAGTGCACTGGAAATAATTCTCAAAGCAGCATTTACTTGAATAAAGCAAGGAAAGGGCTATTGTTGGGAATACTTATACATATTCATGCAGGAAAGACACACCATCATGTACAGAGACAGGTAGGCACATTCCTAAGAATACTAAGCTCAAAGCATACATTGCATGTTCAAAAACATGGCAGAAAGGAAAGCCTCTGGGTAGAGAATTTGATATTATAATAAGTAAAGTTTGCTCTAGATCACCTAAAAGGAGTAACTCTGTGATTTTGGCTGGTTTCTTATAAATTTCTCTGGAGGACTTTATCTGACACAAACAAACACTTTTTGAAGGAGATTTAACAGTCAGTTAAGCACAGTGGGGATGATTTACATATGTAGCATCCTTCTGACCTCTCCATACATAGGTGATTGTCCCTAATAGTACTTGTCTAGTGGCTAACATATTTGTTGTATGTGTGTACATCTTAGAACCATTTGTGGTGTGCGATGTAAATGAATCAATGAATAAACAGGTAGATGTTTACAGCCAGACTAGACAGGGTAGAATGAGCTCATTAAATAAGTTGTATGCATTACAGAAGTCTGCCTTTAATTTATGTCAGGATACATTTCTCGTTAATAAATAATGTAGCTTATAATTTCATAACTTTGACATTCTTTTCAAGGCAACTAACCTCAACCCTACATTGTCTAACCTTTAAAGATTACAGATGAGATTGTTGTGGCTCCTTGATCAGAGTGTTAATATATAAATCAAAAGGACAATTTATAAGCTTGCTAAATATTCAGTGCTAAGATGCAGGAACAAAACAGCTAATATAACTCTGACACATCTGAAAGAAATCCATTAGTCATTGGATTCTTCTCTTTGAAAAAAAAAGATTAGACTTATGAATGCCATAATCTGCCTGAAAAAAGATTATATTTAAATCATATGCAAATTATCCCCACTGTGCTGACAGTGACTAAAAGCATTTATTGTATCTCTTATGTTCAACTAATAGGAAATGTGGAGAGTAACTAGTTCTTTAATCGTATTTTAGGGTCTAAGTCATTCAATGGCCTCGAATGAATGGGACTTTTAAATCCTGTCATCATCTTTGCTGAACCTTTTGTGTTATGTTTCGGAGTCTTTTTTCCACCTCATTTTAATTATGTCTTCTGTTGTTCAGCTACTTCATTTCATTCTAAATGTCAAGTTTTTTCTTTTGTCATTATGGAAGCTACCTGTTTTCTAATGCAGAAAGTATTTTAAGTGCCTTTTTCCCCTCTGCTCTATTGTTCTGCTTAGACTCTATTTATATACACAGATTTGTTTGGCAGTTTTTAAAGACTTTGCAGGTCAAAACAGTTTCCGGCAAAAAAAAAAAAAAAAAAAGAAAGAAAGAAAAGCAAAAACCAGTTAAACCAGACATTTTTTCTCTATTGATCTAAGCACTCATGGCAATCTGACATTTTCTGGTTTTTATGAACAATGAAGTAAAATTAAATGGATATAAAAACCCTACTTAAATTATTTTCACATGGATGGATTTTCTTACTCCTTCTAATGCTGATTTCTCTAGTGTGATTCTATCTCCAAAATTTTCACAGTGCACTGGGCGTGGACAGATTTGGCCCCACTGAGTGAACAGAAAGACTCCAAATGTCATCGAGATCCCCAAGTGCTACTTAGTTTTTTCTTTATTTATTGCCCAAATAACATTATAGAAAGATTTAAAATACAAGAAAAATCATCTGCAATCCTACCATCCTGATAACTATTTTTTTTCAGAGAATTTGTCTATAAGATGCTTTATACCTGATTGCCTCCAACAACTTTTTCCCTTACTTAATTTAAAAAAGAACTATTTTCCATGAGCACATACATTTAGGAGATGGATGAAACCAAATAATCCACTCAGTCCATTTGCTCTAGTTCAGAGTTTTCAACTCCAGCACCATCTACGTTGGGATGGACCGTCTTCCATTGTGGGAGGCTACTGTGTTCACTGAAGGATGTTTAACAGCATCCTTGGCCTTTACCCACTAGATACTGGTAGCATCTCAGTTATAACAGCCTCAGATTCCTCTAGGCATAGCCAAATGTCTCCTGAAAATGGAGACTTGGCAAAATTGTCCCAGTTTGGGCACTTGTTGATGTTTTCTTATTTGAGAAAATACATTTGATGAAATTCCATAGTCCAGACATGAAGGAAGAAGGTGGCTTCAAGTGGCATGGGAACCAGCCTCTGAAGAAGACATGGTGGTCTTCTTGAATCCTCATAATGAAGCACACCTAGCTCTGTCAAAATCAGGACAAAATCATAACTCTCTTGGGGAATGTGCATTTCCCAACACTTATGTGGCTCTGGAACATAACTAAAATCCTATAAGTAAGGAAATACTTTGCATGTTTTACAAATGGGCAAACTAAAGCCCTACTAGTAAGTACCCTGTCTGCTAGTAAAAGGGGGAATTCAATATTCAAACTCTGAGCAATAGGTTGGTAAATCTTATATTCTATCTCTTGCTACTCCACAGAGTTGTTATTTGTGATCCAGGACTCAGGATGGGAGCAGGGTACAGCTGGAGAGGTAAGCTGCCTACCTGCCCATGGTGGTGGGGGAGAGATTGAGGGATGGAATTCTGTTATTCTAGGAGTCTGAGTCTTTTGTTTGATTGCTCAAAGGATGCCAAGAGTTTCACATTCAGATTCACTTTCTATCATTTCTGAAGGATCATGTTGGTCTGGGCATTCATACTAAACCACACCAAGACATGATGGAATAGAAAGATGAGTCTTCTGTGCAAAGCCCAGGAGTGGGAGGATGGAAAGGCTAAGGCCCTGGAGTCAGAAGCCCTGAAACCTGCTCCTGGCTGTATGAATTGGAAGCCCCAGAGAAGCTGGAAATGAGCAAAACCTGTCATTTCTCACTGAGATTGGCTTGTCTTTTTTCTTTCCGAGTGGACAAGGGAGAGAATTCCTGAGAGATGTTATACCAAGTTGAGTCTTCAGAGCCATACAGCTGAGTCCTGCAGGCATCTGCTAACTCCCGTGTTCTGCACTGTGGGTTATGAGGCTGAGGGTGAGGACCAGATTGCTCAGGGCATCCACTGAGATCCTTAGCTTCTGAGTTGCATGGAAGGAAAAGATGGGGTGATAACAGGCACAAAAACTCTGGAAAAAATAACTGAGATATCTAGTAGAAGATTCCATTGTTTCTATAATGTGCTGGTGCTGAGAGTTCTCCCTACTGAATACTCATGAAATTTTGCATAAAAATGTGCATTTTCTACTATTGCATCATGGAGCTGGCTCAGCCACTGGATGTTGGGGCTAGGGCTGAGGTCTGCTCAGGGTGGGCTCAGGAAGCTGGCTCTTGAGGTCCATCAAGGTTGCTATAATGACCATAAGAGCATGGTAGGGACAGAATCGCCAGGATGTTCCTATCACCAGACACTTACCAGCAACTGCCAGCTTATGAGGCAGGTGATTTATTTTGCTATTTTACAGTTCTGGAAAGTGAAGCTCAGGAAAGTGATGCAACTTTCCCAAGACTGACAAGGTAGTACGGAGCAGAGTAGAGCTTGAATCCACCTATGATGGCTGCAAGCCCAGCCTCTTACCTGCTCTATCAGACTTCCTCCTGAGGAAAGATGGCAGACTTGATAAATTTTTGTTTTCAGGTTTCTTCACTGGGCAAAGGGCAATACTCTCTGGAAGCAAAAGAATGAAAGTCTTTACAGGTGTTTGACTTCAACCAAGGACATCAGCCTCACTTTAGGTAGGGTAGGGCAGACCTGGGAGACATGGCTTCCTCCATCAGTCTGGGTCTTGTGCATTCCTTGGGATTCCTCTAGAGACCAGGCAAACACATGACTGTCCTCAGGCCTGTTATTCTTAGGAAGGTATAACTTATATTCTATAAGGAGGGCCTAGTGACAGCTGTATTAGTCCTTTCTGGTGGCATTTGGGAGCCACCACATTAGCAACCCCATCAGTATAGCCTGTCTGGTCTTGCCTTTGCTGCCAAAGTCTGCCTGTGCAAAGGGGCTTAGCCAGCAGCTAACTGGTCTCTGAAAGCTGGCAATTCACATAGAAATGTTCCTTAACTTTCAATGAGATTATGTCCCAGTAAACCCATCTCAAGTTGAAAATATCCTAAATCCAATATGCATTTAATCCACCAAACCTACCATGCATCCTATAGCTGAGCAACACAGCACACTGTAGAGCATTGGCTGTGCCCCTTGTGATTGGTTGGGATGACTGGGGGCTGTGATTAGCACTGTCCAGTGTCACAAGGGAGGATCAGAAGGCATACCCCTAGCCTGGGGAAAAATCCAAATTCATAGTTCCAAGTATGGCTTCTATGGAATGCATGTTGCTTTCCCATCATCATAAAGTAAACAAAAACAAAAACAAAAACAAAAAAAACAAAATCATAAATTAGAACATTGTAAGTCAAATTGCCATAAGTCAGGGGTGATTTGCTGTTGAATATTAACCACTGCACTCATGATGAATGCTGCCATTCTGGAAGAAACCAGAAGTCAGTTACAGCAGTCTTAACTACCATTTGAAGGTTTGAAGAAGTGTGTCAAAGAGAAGCAAAGAAAAATCAAGAACTCTTCCCAAGAGACACAAGATCTGAGTCTGAGGAGAAGCAGGAAGCTAGCCCCAAAACCAGAGCATGAACCCAGCAAGTCAGGCTCAAAAGAAGCCAAGACTGAAACCTGGTGAGCGTTCTCTGATCATCATGGATACTAAGAATGCAGCAGAGTGTAACACACCATTAGCACTTTCCCAGAGAGCTGGTCAGTGTGTAGTTAGGAAAAGGAAATACACAAAAACAATCAGTAAACACTTTTTGAACTCTGGGGAAGGAGTGAGCCTTCCTATTCATTCAAGTGCGTGTGTGTGTGTGTGTGTGTGTGCATACTGTATAGATACTAGAAAATTTCAATTTTTATGTGCTAGTGTTTTTATAGATGCTGAGAATTCAACAATGAACACTAAATAAATCATTGCTTGTACGGAGAGCACATTACATCTATGTCTACACAGTATTTCTATGTGTGAAAATTAGTATGTATGTATTTATCAAGTTGCATCCACTTAAACCCATACTGTAGCTAATAAAATATTGACAAACTGCTATTTTTTTAAAGAACACATGATGAGTGTAAAATTTGGAAAAAACATTTTCATTGGTTTTACAAATTACGTTGCAAAATGCAAAAGCATGCTGTTCTTGTAATTAGATTAGCTATCCCCTACTATTATCTTATTTATACCACTGATTGACTTAATAACCTTCTTATGAAGAAATGGTGCTGCAGGGGTGGGGATTTAGCTTAGTGGTTTTGCCACCTGCTGCACAAGCTCAAGGATTTGAGTTCAATCCCCGGTACTAAAAAAATAAAAGAAATTATGCTGCAGAAGGCAACTTTAGTCTTCAGTGCATCCAAATGATCATGATGTAGAGTGGGAGAGTTCTGAATGGCAGGCTGTATTTTGCTCATTTTTTATAGGATTTGCTGAGATTGGACTAGACTTTTGATGTAGCATGAATTGCCTCAAGGTATCTGCATTCTTTAAACAGAATAAGACGTGCAGAAATGACTCATCACTGCAGTCAAAACTTTCTTCTGGGGATTTAACCTACTTTTCTATTTCAAAACTTGGTAAGTAACCCAGTACAGTTGAAAACAAAAACTGCATATTATTTAATAATGAAACTTTCTTAATTTGTCTTTTGGTAGTGGAGATGGAACCCAGTGCTTCTTCACCCCTGTCTTGTCTCCAAGAAATAACCCGGTGGCACTTTAGTAATATATTACTATACTACGAAGTCGTCTCCAAGACTGTTTGCAAAAGCTGACTGTGCATATAATGAACCAGAACTTGATCATGTAAATATTACCAATCAAACAGAGTCTTGCTCTACCCTTCTGCATGCTATATTACACACTTGTACAGAAGTGTGGATCGGGGCCCTTCAGCTCGCTCCCTGAGGACACACATTCCTTGTTTGCTCTCAGCAAGATTTGCTGGTGTGGCAATGGTTCTTCCCTCTGTTTCTATGCCCTAAAAGCAGCATTATGTAAGTTCAGCCCTATGAACTGCTGGCAGTTTTCACAAATTGTTTACAGTGTTCTAATTTTTTACACTCCCTTTTAAAAGATCTCTGTGTATGCTAATTGCAGAAGGTAATCTTTCTGGCATCAGTAACCATGGTAATGAATCATCCTTCTCTCAGAATTAGTGCCAGCTGCACTAGTGTCTCGCTAGTAGCACCCTGGTGTTTTGCTAATGAGTGACTTTTCATTTGTGGTGGGAGGACATTTTCACTTCTTCACATCTTTGCTTATGTTTTGTTAAAGGCTTTTCCTTGAGAACAACATTTGAAAAGATTAATCCCATTTGGCAAAATCTTGATCCCAAAAGAACAGCATTCCTAGTTGTAGAGAGTACAGTGCACAGAATGAAGTCCATTGAAGGCTCTGTGGGGAGGTCCTTCTACCCTAGCCTGTCCCTCCTCCAATCCTGAGCATCCATCTTGTCTCAGTCCTGTACAGAGTGCTTTGCATCAGCATTCTCCTTTGATTACTGGAGAAAGGAGCTTAAATATTTTAAAGATTTATATTATGAATAATTTAAGAGAAATAAAGAAAGCATCTAAATTCTCTTTGAATTATGTAATGGGATCCTTGAAATATGTTAGCATTCTGCCTTCTCAGATTTAAATATTTTTGGGGGGAAGGGAAATTGTAGTGGAAGTTGAAGCCATTGTTGTTCTTTATCTCATGGCTAAGGATGAGACCAGGAGACACAGCTTCTGGGCGGGCAAGAGATAAGAGATTGCAGAAATGGATTAATGGATGCTTCTCTTATCAGCAAGCTATTTCCACCAGCAATTGGGAGAAAACCCCAAACCAGTGCTGCTTCTAGCCTGAGCAGCATTTTGAAGAAGTTATAGGAAGACTGATACCCAGAATCATCACTGAATTTTCTTCTTTTGTGATAATTTAGATATGGAATGAAATTTTTTTGTTGTTTTTTTTTTTGGTGTAGCCACACAGGTCCCTAATGGCAGCTTGCTGTATCCACAGTAAGGCTATTGCAAGATACTTTTCCTGCTGCTTTGTGTGCTCTATGTACTTCCACTTATTTTATCCTTATGGTGACTCTTTAGTTATTATTACTTTCATTCTGCAGGGGAGAAAACTGAGGCAATGGGAGGTTGAGTAACTGACCCAAGTCAGTATACCTGGGTTATATGCAGAGCCATCTTTCCAATCCAGGGGAATCTGATACAGAAGTCCTTGCTCATAGCCCTGGCACTCTTTCCTGAAGGAAAGCTGATAGGAGGGTCTGTTTTGATCTCAGTTCTGCCACTTGCTATTTGTCCCATCTGAGTTTCTTTATCTTACTGCATCTCTGTGTCCTTTCTAGTGAAATGGAAATCATCACACCTGCTTCCCAGGATGCTTGGGAGGACTGGAAGAGAGGCAGCACTTACAAGCTTTATAGAACTCCAGCATGCCATGCAAGCAGGTGTACCAAAGTTGTGGAGAGTGGTCTCCACTCTTAAATTATCATTCCTACTAAATTAGCTTGTAATTTAAAATATGCAAGAACAAGTAAGAGACATTTTAAAAAGAGTCTTGTACTGAAATTGCTATTGTTTGAAAATACCCATCTTCCTCAGAGGGATGAGCACAATCTTTCACTTAAGAAAATAAGTCATAAATTTCTTTATGAATCCATTTAAACAGCTCAGAGTAAGAATGAAAAGCAACTGGCCAGCAAAGTGAGGCCCTTGATCGACGCAAGCAATAACAAGACGAGGGGCAGTTAAGCCAATGGAATCAGGATGATATTAAAAGCAATTTCCATGCTAGGCATGGTAGCACACACCTGTAATTCCAGCACTCTGGGAGGCTGAGGCAGGAGGCTGGAAAGCTCAAGCCCAACCTGGGCAACTTAGTGACTTAGTGAGACCCTGTCTCAAAATTTACAAAGGGAGAGGGGCTGGCTATCTAGCTCACTGGTAGAGCATCTCTGGGTTCCATCCTTAGCACCAGAAAAAAAGAAAGAAATTACTACAGTATCTCCTCAACAACAAGGAATGTGTTCTAAGACCCCTAGTGGAAAGTTCTAGAAATAAACAATTCAGAAATTTGAAATTGCATGCTGTTATAAATAGTATTTTGAAATCTCATACTGTGCCACTACACCCTGTCTAGGAGGTGAATCGTCATCCCTTTGTCTAGTTTTTCCACACTGTATATGCTACCTGCCTCTTGCTTCATAACCATGTCACTTATCAGAGCCACTGTCATAGTATCACAGGGCTTGTGTTCAAGTCACTCTTATCTTGGTCAACAGCAACACAAAAGCACTAGAGTGGTGAGGCTGGCAATTGCACAGTATATTGTTATAATTGTTCTTTTTTCTTAATCTCTTACTATAGGCACTTTATTAATTTAATTTTATCAGATATATATATATATACACACACACACACACACACACACACACACATAGTATAGGTAAGGACTAGTGGTCTTAGGCATCCACTATGTAGTTCAGCCTGGCCTTGAACTCATTATGTAGCCCAGGCTGGCCTTAAACTCATGGCAATCCGCCTGCCTCAGCATCCTGAGGGCTGGAATTGCAGGCATCTGCCAGGATGCCTGGCCATTCATTTAATATTTTTGGACCATGGTTGCCTCCGGGTAACTGAAACCATGGGTAAAAAACTACAGATAAGGGACACTACTGTAGAGCATAACCACAGAAGAGGAATTTTGTCAAGGATAAAACCAGAGAGCTAAATGGTACAAAATACCAAAAAAAAAATATGTTTGAGAGAGAAAGAAAGGAGGAGATGGAAGGAGAATGGAAGACAGAGACATGATAGAATTTTACTGTTATATTTAATGCTCAACCAATATCTTAGTGTTCAAAACAATTCCTCTTTCTTCATCCTGAAAATGATAACCCGACTCTGATTTTCTTCTTGAATATTTTCCCCATAGATTAAAAAAATTGCATGAATATAAAATACACTTACACAATTTTCTCGGTCTAAAATAATCTCTTGCTTTGAATAGATATTTGTTTTTGAACTTAGCTATTTGTAGCCAAAAATGTTAAATCCTTGTCATAACTGTATTCCAGAATTGACAAGTGAAGAAGTTGGAGACCTTGGTCTTACCAGCAGTGAATCACAATGCCACCAGGTTTACTGGTGTTGTCCTGTGAGAGAGCACAAGTCTTATTTCCTTAGAAAGTTGACATTCATGTTGCAGGGAGGAGTCACAAATGCTTACCCTTCTGAGCAGCAGGGAGCAGGGCAGATGTCTCTATTGGCACCATGGAGGGTAGGGAGCCACACAGTCTTCCTGGCAACAGAACATTTTTGCACATGTCTGTAATACCACATGGGAAACTGTGAATGTCTTGGAAGGGATCCATTAATATATACTCGAAAGGACAGATGGTGAATGAAGGCGAGAGAATGCTACAGTGGAAAGGAAATGAATTAGCTTATTAAGAAATCAGCTCCTTGATATAAAGTGGCAAGTTTCCATGGACTACTACACGGGTTCACTTCACAGAAGAGAGGGATTTCCCAACAGCGTGCTCTGAAGTATGGCTTTGCCTTTAGATCATCATAATTACAGTGGTTGCACAGCTTTTTGAATAGATCCCCTACCCTCACTCCTGTGGTCAGTCCTCTGGACACTGCTTCCACACTACTCTGTGTATCTTGCTTTTACCTGAGAAGGTGTAATGTGGTATGTGTGGATCACCATCAAGCTGATTGTTTCTGGCATGTGCAGGGGTGGAGGTGACAGGGAAAGATGTCACTGTGTGATGGAAGCAGAGTGTGACTAAATCTCAGGAAGTGGTGGGCACCATGGCAAGCTGGAGAGGGTGCATGTGAGAAAGAGCGGTCTGTCATTGTTTTATATACTGGTGATTGAATCCAGGGTCTTTGCACTAATGTACAGCCCCAGCCCTATTTGTTTACTTATTTTAGTTTGAGGTAAGATCTTGCTAAGTTGCTAAGGCTGGGCTTGAACTTGTGATCATCTTAGCCTCCTGGAGTGCTATAGGCATGTGTCAACACACCTGGCTTTTTAAAAAAATATTTGTGAAAAGCAAAACACATTCTGAGCTGAACTCAATCCCTGAGTTTTTCCATTGCAGCGAAAGGTAGGAAGGCAAGGGGTCAGGGTAGACACAGCCCAGGAGACACCTGTCCCTTCCTCCTATTTCTCTTTGGGACTCTGGAATTAGGACCAAACTTTTCACGAAGAATGAAATGTGAATCCCAGCAGCGTAAGATCCCGGGAGGCACATGAGCAGGGAAGAAGAGCCTGGAGTGGGGGACCATGCTGCCTGAGTTTGAATGCTGCTTCTGGCTCTTGCTATCTGCGAGGCTGGGGGAAATCACTTTACATTAGGGCCTCAGTTTTACCATCTGTGGAATGGAGAGAATTTTTAGTAATCACCTTCTGTGTTGTTGTGAGGATTGCTGAGCTGGTAAAGCACTTGGAAGAATGCTGGGCATAGTACAGCTGTCAGCTCTTATTGGCTTTATTAAGACAGATAATTTCAAGCTATGTCTTGGCCCATTTATGTCACTCTAACAGAATACCATAGATTGGGTAAATTATAAACAATCTCAGTTTATTTGACTTATATTTCTATGGGCTGAGCAGCCTAAGAGCATGACATTCACATCTGATGAGGGCCTGGTGTTGGAGGGCATCTCACGGTGACACAGAGCCAGCTGTTATGTTGGGTCTCTTCTTATAAAGCCTTCATGGGTCTCCACCTTCCTGACCTCATCCTCATCTAATTCCAAAGACCCCTCCTGAAAATGCCATCAACATGGGAATTTGGGGCTTAAGTTTTCCGTACACAAAATCTTAGGGAGTACACTCAAGCTGTAGCAAACTGTGAGGAAAGGGAGCAGGTCCTATCTGCGCACACTGTGCTGGCTCTCCAGACAGTGCCCTGTGGCAGCATCTCACAGGCAGCACTTGTCTGCCGGTGCCCACCTCCTCTTTCTACCCACACAGTGTCCACCCTAAATTAGGTCTTCCCAGATTGAGCCCAACACTTCTGAGGCTTCTCAATGCCCAGGACTCACCAGGAGGACTTGCTGAAACACTTTTCTGCAGGTCTGGGTGGGAACCCGAGAGTCCTTTGCACAGGAAGTGAGGTAGGAGAGAAGAAATAAAAAACAGGTAGAAAGGAGACAAGGAAATCATATCTAAAATATTCTACTTTTAAGAAGACTGCAACTTCCAGAAACTGGCTGATGCATAGCAGCATCCTTTGGTTAAATTTAGACTCCCTTCCTACCAGAACTGTCACACCCAAAATTCCTTAGGAACACTAAAAGTCCATAAATTAAGCAACAGGAGCCTGATCTAAGATAAAAGAGCAGGTTGAGGGAACCCAAATAATTTCAAATCCCCCATTAAAAACCCCACTCATACCTGTAGAATGGGCTAATACCCTGGGGGTGTTGGGGGGGCTTTTCCTAGACTTTCCTACCGCTCAAGAGAAAGAGGTATAAACATTCCCAGTACCAAACTGCAATGTGCCTCATTTCTCTGAGTGCCCACACTCCTCTCTTGAGTGTGTCCTAACAACCTCTCTGCCTCTTACTAATGAGACTTGGAAATTCCTTTTCCATGTCTGGAGTCAGCAAACCTGTTACAAGAGTGTGGTTTAAGTTCCTTATTTCAGCTTTGGGGACACTCAGACCCAGCCTGGTGACAGAAGGAGCTGAAGAACATGGTGCCTCCAGATCTTCTTCCAAACCTAGTTCTGTACCCAATCTAAGTCTCTTGTCTACTTTAGCACCAAGTCCATAGGAAGCCCTTTGCTCTTCCCTGCTCACATGCATGGTAGCAAGGGAGGAGAGGTGCTCCAGCTCTGTCTCCGTGCTCAGGAAGACGCCTCCTCCCGTGGGAGTGTTCTAGCAAGTGTCTGTTATGAATAGAATTTTCAAAACTGTTTTCCAATCTCACGACTCCATAGACACTGCTAGGAGAATAATTTTTTCCAATGTAAACACACAAAACAGAACCTTCTGCTGCAGGATATTGTATTTTCCCACTGACTTGTCCGCCTTCTGAGACAATGATCTCCTGAACGCAAGGACGGCTTGTTCACGGTCAGACTCCTACCGCCCTCACTCTGTTAGATCTGCCCCCTGTGTGTAGTTAATCTTTAATAAATGCACAAATAGGAAATGGGTGCACTACCACACCGTATGCATGACTTGGCTTTTGTTCCAGGATGCCCAAGTCACATATATCCTATTAATGTAGGACGATGTCACAACTCTTTTGGCTCAAATAGAACCACCAGGGCCTCTGTAGATTGGCACCAACTAACCCGCCTGCAAGCCTCCTGGACACAAAGTAGCAGGGTGAAGTACAGTTGGCTCTACCTATCTGTGGGTTCCATATTCATGGGATTTTACCAATTGCTGACAAAAGTATTTGGGAAAAAGAATCTACTTCTGTATGTTTTATTTTTGGGGGGTCATTTAGTAAACAATACAGTATAACAACTACTTCTATAGCATTTATATTGTATTAGGTATTGTAAGTCACCTAGAGCTGATTTAAAGTATGTGAGATGTGTGTAGGTTATATACAAATATTATATGGCTTCATATAAAGGACTTGAGCATGTGTGGATTTTGGCATCTGCAGGAGTTCTGGAGCCAGGGATGACTGTATCATTACTTTAAAATATATTTTTATTTTTAATTGATGCATAGCAAGCATACATATTTATGGGTACATGTATACAATGTGCAATGATAAAATCAGGGTAGTCGGCATATTTATCATGTCAGATATATGTCATTTTTTTAACTTTACTATTAAAACAAAATAAACTCTGAATTCACATTTTAAAATGGAAGAATGGCAATAGCTTAAAGCATAGCAGTGTCGACAGTCTTTCACTGTTCCCATGTACGTCGTCCTGGTGTCAGTTATAGGGTTCAGGCACCTTTGGGTACAG